GTTTAAATTTCATGTGTATATGCAGGTGTTGGCATTGGAGACACACACACACATCGTCATCACCGTCATCACCATGGTCATCGTCATCGTCATCATCATCATCATCATCAGGCGGGATCCGGTGCTGGTGCTGTCCCCAGGGCTGAAACGGTGCCCAGGGATTGAAGTCAATCCCTCATCACATAGTAGATGCTTGATAGAAATGCCGTGTGTGTGTGTGTGTGTGTGTGTGTGTGTGTGTACTGGGGAGACCAAGGTGAGGCCTTAGGTGTCCCCCAGCATCCAGTCCACCCTCACCATAGGGCCAGGCCCACCTCCAGGCCATGGTCAGTCCAAGCCAGCCACAACAATCCCACCCCTTGGTCAAGACTGATGAAACCAGGCCTCAGTGAGGGGCAGAAGGGAGCGTGTCCTCCACTTAAGGCCAGTGAAAGCAAGGACACATCCTCTGGAGGCTCTGGGCAGGGTTTTTTCTTTCTTCTTTTTCTAAAGCAAGATGCTGGATGAAACGCCTGTTCTTCTTCTGGATGTTTCTATAGAGGGTGTTTCTGAGTCACACAGCTGCTGCAGCCGTACCTATCAGCCAGAGATGGAGCCCACGGGTACAGGGGCTGGAGCCAGGAGAAATGTAGGTAAAGCCAGGCCCCTGGGTCCAGCCATGCCTGAAGCCTGCATGAGCTTAGCCTTAAGCTAGTGTGGTTCAGGTGCCTTGATTGCTGGTGGAGAGGGGAGATCATGGAGTGACGGGGAAGAAGCAGGCCGTGCCACCTCATCCTGAAGACCTCCAAGGGATGCCAAGGACCTCACCCCAAGAGCACTGGGGGTTTGAGCAAGCAATGGCTCTCTCAGTCCCTTGGGTACATAGAAAAGGGCCCAAACTGGAGGCAGGACAAGGGAGTGGGCTTTGGGGTAACCTAAGCTGTGTTGGGTGAGGCTGGGACTCTGGCCATCCCGTGGCTTCGCACCTCTGCCTCAGGGCATCCTTCTTTCTGGGGAGTGCTGGCCTGGGGAAGTGCAGGGGGCAGGGTGTGGCCTGATATTCTGGTGTCACTTGAGAATGTGCTGGAGGAGGAACCCAGTCCCCTGGCAGGACTCGCAGCTCCAGACCTGCTGGCAGCAGATCGGGGTGAGGGGCTACAGAGAAAGAGCTACAGATGCTAACTGCCCCTCCCATATCTCAAATGTGATTGCACATCTGGTGTGCTTCCTGGGTTGAGTCCCCTCACCTTGAAGTGAGACCCTCCGAGGGGCAAGCAGAGGCGGTATGGCCCACAGTGAGGCTGGGGACTTCCATCTGCCATGCTTGTGCTCTCTGCCCAGGGAAGTCAGTCCCTCAGTGTCAACCAGCTTGGCCCAGCCACGTCCTCGGCCTTCTGCTACCCCCCAGAGGTGCCCGACATCTGCCAAGTCCCGACATGGGTCAATGCAAACAGTCTCCGCCGGGAGGCCCTTGGAAAGCTCCTGCTGCCTTCGTCAGATGCAAAAACCACCCTGTGGTGATGGGGGACAGCCTGGCTTTGTTTTTGGAAATGAGAGCTGCAATCATCAGGGGAAACGTGTGCATGTCTTGACACTGATATGTCAAAGGTTTAGCAAAAGACAGTAAATACTAAGAACAGTTGCACGTAGTTCACAGGTGTTGGTGTCTGTTACGGCGCTCATTTTATTTTTCTGTGTTTGAAACAAAAATCATTAAGGAGCCCTTTTAAAAGAAGATTTTTAAAAAGAAAGAAAACATCAGAGCCAACATTCTCTAAGCGTTCCCAAGCACCACACTGGTTCTGAGACATACTCAGGTGTTCTGTGACCAAAGGGAAGAGTCCACCCTGTCCTCTTCCAGGGTGTCAATGGGCAGGAAATAGGGAGGTCCCTAGAGGTCACATTGCAGGCCAGATTCTGGGTCTCCAACTTTTGGGTGATGGGGGGCAGTCCCAGGAAGGGGAGGTGGAAAGGAAAGCCACATGAACTCGTCCTGTGGACACAACTCTGTGTTTACAGGGTGGCATGAGGGTCCCTCTGTTACCAGGACCAAGAGTGGCGCTCCGTGGCGGGTCATGCTCACCAGGCCCAGGCTCTTGATGAATCCCCACATTTGATCTTTCTGACCCCAAAGTCTTCAAGCTTCCTCCCTGAGGACAGAGATTCTGGGTGTTCAGGGTCGGTTCATTCAAGGAACAAGGCGCAGAGGCAAGAGGACCTCCCCATCCAGAGACAAGACAGACACAGGCAGAACGTAAGGGCAACCGGTCTAGGTCTGCTCCCGGTGCCCACAGGGGGACACGGGCTCATCCCCTGCACTGCCAATGTGCCTGGCACTGCTGTGGGTGACCACACACATCTGTGACCCACAGGGCTCATGCCACCGTCAGAGGAATCAAGGAAAAGCAGCATGAGGAGTGATAGCAGGACTCGGCCCCCGGCTGGTGGGAAGTTGCAATGAAGGTTGAGGGTGGGGAGTGAGGGGCTGGGCCACGAGAGTCTTCACCACCTGGCTGGGGACAACCAAAGGGAAGGAAAGAGGGTCCATCTCAGCCCTCCTGCAGGAATAGGGCATGGGCAGCGGCTGGGGCCCCATGAGGGTCCAGTCATCTAGAAACTGGCTGCTGGGTCTCCGTGGGGCCTCTTCTGAGGCAGGTGCTCCAGGCCAGGTAAGACCTACTTGGCCAAACCCGACAAAGGAGCAAGAGGACGAGAGCAGCGCAGAGTGGTGGCCCCGACAGCTCAGCCACTGCACGGCCAGCCCAGCCGAGGCCGCCTGGCATGTCCTCCGAGGTCTGGGCTGCCTCACCAGCAGGCACAGCCCCCTCTATCCAGCCAAGCCCTTGACAGCAGGCGTCAGTTGCCATCTGGGCAAGAGCGAGTGGCAGCAGGTGCCCCACGGGCCATCTTTCACCGGCAGTGAAATCTCTTGCTGGAGAAGTGACCCAGAGACTAAGCTGGAGTGCAGGGTGGACACAGGCAGCCAAGAGCCCCACTGCTCGGGACGATGGCTGCTGCTGCTGGCAAGCAGGGCTAAGATAGGGTGTGCACTTGCTGGGGCCACGCTGGAGGCTGCATCCACCTCTATGTGACCACCGGCAACTTCCTGTGACGCCAGGGACCTCACGGTCCCACCTGCAGCTAGAGCAACCACGGCTCTCTGGCCACAGCTGGAGGAGTGACGATGCTGTGACAGCTGTGACGACAGCAGCCCTGGCAGTCTGGCTGGATGGCAGCAACAGCCTCAGAAACGAGGAGGTGACTAAGCAGAGTCCCCAGGGCTGTTGGCTTTTCCCTTTGGAAGCCCACATGGTCCCTGTGCTACATCTTGGGCTGCTCCAAGTGGAGAAAGGGATTCAGGGGGAGCTCCCACCCCAGATCATGGGTAGCGGTGAGATCCGCGCCCCAGGCGGCTGGCAGATGCATTGCCAGGCCCACGGTGCGCGGAGCTGCCTTCCCACAGGCGACAGGTGGGAGGCCTCTGGAAACGTCTCATCTCCCATCTCCCTGGGAGACGCGGGGAGCTGGGGAGGCATGTCATCAGCTTCCTGCGGGGAGGCTTGGAGGGGCAGGCACCCCTTCACAGGGGCTGCAAGGCCCCTGCCTCACAGGCATTGCCACCGGCCTACCCTGTGGCCGAAAGCCCCCGGAGGGCAAGGAACTCGGGCCATAAGCTGGGACACTGCTAGCCTTTCCTGCTAGTCTTCCCGGGGGTGTCTCAGAGAGTGTGTGTGATGACCCCAGGCCTTGCCCCTTTCACACATGCCCCCACCATTTTCCTTCTCTACGAGGTACCCCCAGGCCCCAGATGGGAGGCCAGAGCTCCAGACACCTCCCACAATACGCAGGACGGATGCTGAAGGCCACCACCTAGCGTCACCTGGGCAGATGTGCTCCCGCTCACAGAGACCACCAGCCAGGCCACAGGGCTCCCGAGGTGAGGCCTTCCAGAGAGGCTGTGGGACAGCCTCCTTCCCCTGGTCAGGAAGCCCAGGTGCCCTGAGGTGGGGCCCGGATGGCCGCCGGGTGAGTGTGTCCTGGAGACTCCCACCTCTGCCACCAGCACCAGCCTGTGGCTCCTGCCCTCGGGGCCTCAGTTTCCCCATCTTCAAAACGGAGGACAACTCGTTTACCACCTGGAGCTATTTGGAGGCTAAAATGAAACTGAAAACGTCACCCACGTCCTTCCATTTAGAAGTCAGGATGGACTCGATTTCACACACGCCGTCTTGCACTCACAGCCCCACAGCTTTGCCGTGACAGTCCTGTGCACCCACGGTGGGGGAAGGAGAAGGAGGTGGCCCTTCGCCCACAGACCTGCGGGCCTTTGCTACGTGGCCTCCCTCAGATGGGTGGGATTCAGGGCCACTGCTTTCCCATCTGAACAATGAGGGGACACTGGATGACAGCTCACTTTTGTTGTGACTTGGACCTTCTGCAACTCCCAGAAATAGCTTTCTGTCTCTCCACAAACATCAGCGGGGTACGTGAGGCTCGCCCACGCTGGAGGACAGCATGTGACGGGAGCGTCCCAGGACAGGAGTCCTGGCAGACTGCGACTGGGGGTCCAGACAGGAGGGAAGAAGCCTGGGGTGGAAGTGGAAGCCAGGTCTGCAGGGAGCCTCCTGAAGGAATTCAATGGGGTCCTGGGGATGCTTGAGCCCTGGGCCCTGTTGAGGTGACCGAGGAGGACACCTCTTCAGGGCAATCCCTGTGCCGCCCTGGGGCTTTAAGAGTAGTCTCTTCCTCTCTGAGTCTGGCCCACACTGTGGGGGTCCTTCACAACCCCTGTGTGGAGCTGGGAGTCTCCTCTTCCTGGAGGGAGAGCTCCTACTGGCTCTCCAAGGCCTCACCTGGACACCAGCTCCCGTCGACGGGGTTGGTGTCTCAGTAATTACTCTCAGGAATGGCCAGAGAGTAACTCGTAAGTGCCAAGGGCCATCTGACCTCACAGCTCCCGAGCTCCGACCTGCAGCTCGAGAGCAAACACTGGCAATTCCAGAACAAATCACGGACAGGGCTCTATTCCAATAAGACTTTATTTGCAGACACTGAAATTTTAGTTTTATGCACTTTTCACAAGTCACAAAATGTTAGACTTCCTTTAAGTTTTTCCAACTGTTTAAAAATATAAAAACCATTCTTAATTCACAGGCCCTCAAGCCACTGCTGGCCGATTCCTGCTCTGGCCTCTGGCTGTTGGAAGCTGAGGTCCTCCCCAGCCAAACCTGGGAGCTCCTTGGGAAAGCAGAACGCCAGGGCCCCACCAGCTTCACAAATTTAAAATCCACGTTTTAACAAATCTCTGATGACTCATGTGCACGTTAAAGTTAAAAAAAAATACTGACGCCTAAGTGTCACCCCCAGAGATTCTAATTTAATAGGAACAGGGCACGGCCTGGACACTGGCAGCTTTTAAAGCTCCCAAGTCTGTTCTAATAGAAAGCAAAATTCAAGTACCTGACCCCAGAAAGATGTCCCAGGGACTGAGAGCTGCTTCTCCTCCTGGCGTCCGAGCTCCCAGGCCACTCCTTCATGATGAAGTATGTCACTGTCACAGGCTGAGCCCCTCTGGGACCAGGAGCCCTCTGATCCTGACTCATGGAGATCTCACATGAGGGGCTACCCTCTGGGACTCAGTCTCCTCCTTGTAAGGAGAGGAGCCCACACTGGTTTGGGAGCTACAAGACCACACTGGGCGTTGGGCCTCGCGGCCACCTCGGCCTCCTGCCTGGCCACCTCGGCCTCCTGCCTCATCATCCTGGCTTCTCTGCAAACCCTGAGCTTCTCCCCTTTCCAGGGCTCAAAGCCCTCAGGCTGGCACGGGCCCCGGGCTTTCCAGGAACTCTGGGGGAAAGGGACAGAGAGGAAACCCACCAACTCAGCAAGCTGCCTGGGCCCCAGATGCACAGGCCACACCCCCCGCAGGCCCGAAGCCCCCTCCTCCCTCCACTGAGTCCCCCTTCTTTAGCCCCCACCTCTATTCCTCCACCTGGGGTAGCCACAGGACCAGTTTCCTCCTAGAGCAAAGGAGGGACAGGCACACAGTGTCAGCTCAGGACAGCAGTCCTGGCCAGCCTGGTCGGAGGTGCCCAGGCCCCTGCAGAGTGCTCCCGGGGAGGGCCGGACACAGCGGAGCCCCCCTCCAGCAGCCTCGGCAGGCCTGCCACACCGTCCACCCACAGCCGGCTCCACCACAGCTGGGTGCTCTGCTCTCACATGCAGCTCTGCATCCCACAAGAACCACCCTAACTCTCTCCAAGACCTGCCCCCAAGGACCCCTCCAGAGGACAGCTTCTGCCTCCCGGAGCCCCAGTCCAAGGCTGCAAAATCCTGGCAGGCAGACCTGGCAGAGGCCTGAGAAATCATCCCTCTTCTCACCTAGGGGAAATCGCAGGCCCAGGAAATAGGAGCGTAGTCTGGGATGGTGGCAGACTGAGGAGGAGCCTCCTTTCCTCATCTGAACCCTCCACCTCTGCCCAACTGCAGGGTCCCTCCCTCCACCCAGGGAGGAAAGGACGGGACTGTAGGGCTCACAGTCCGAAGTGGGAAGGCAGAAGCCAGAGAAGGGCCTGCAGGACTAACTCTTGCCTTCCACCAAGAACAGAATGGCAATGCCCTGTCCCTGCCTCCTCTGCCTAGGCTGTGGAGACCATAGTGGGCAACTACAACTCACTTGCTTCCCAGAGTAGAGCAACAGAAACAGCTATCATTTATTGAGCACTTACTAAGTGCTGGGCCCTGAACTAAGAACCATGATTCTCTGAGGTCATAATTTTATATCCCCACTTAATAATCAGGATGAGGAGCAGAGAGATTAATCAACAGGCCTAAGGTCACACCGCTAGTAGGAGAGTGGTGGGGAGGGGCACTAGAGAAAAGCATTTAAGCTCCAAGCCATCTCTCATCTCCTCATTCCCTGAGCTTAAACCCAGGTCTGTCTGGTTGTTTCCCTGGGGCTCTCAGACGAGGCTGGCTGTGAGCCTCTGGAGGCCATGCTGAGAGCTGTCCACTTAGCAGGTGCCTCAGAAGTACTGGGGTCAGAACCAAGAAGTCGTGAAAACCTCCCAGCTCTGCGGGCTCTGTGGTCTCTCCCTCCTCCAGGGGGTGCTCAGGGAACTGACCTTCCCAAGAAGGGAACAGGAGAAGAAGTGGCCTGCACGGGCCTCCTGGAACGTGGCCAGGCCCCTTGGCACTGGACCTGCCTCCTCCTATCCCTTCATAGTTAGCTTTCAGTTAAAAATAGCTCTCCCACCCCGGCTGCACACCTACCTGCTGGCCCTGCAGGGAGTGCGTCTGAGCCACCCTGGGGTGACAGCCAGCCTGGGACAGAACCCACAGTGAGGAAGGGTTCGTGGAGCAGGAGGCTTTGTGAAGGAGACACGGAAGGGGGCGTGGGATCACGGTCCCCCATTGCCCTGTGGCTCTGGCACCCTCTCCAGGGCTCCTGCACAACCTGCCCCAGGAGGCTCACCCAGCCTTGGCCTTCAGAGTCTGCTCAGGGGAGGGCTGGGGGCCACAGGGCAGCTCCTCTCGAGCAGCCCACCATCCCCACGGTCCCGTCCGTCCATCTCTTCCCGGGATACCCTCCTCTCACTTGCAGCTCTGGAGCCGGGTCCTGTGGTGTTTCTCCTCCGTCAGCAGGGGGATGAAGGTGTCGCTGTGGGAGAGCTTCAGCCGGCTGCCCCAGCTTGTCCCCTCCTTCCCCGCAGGCTCTGGGGGGAGGATGTCCAGGTCGCTCCGGGAGCCCCCAGGCTTGCCCTCACCTGCGCTGCTGGAGTTGAGCTCCATGAGCTCCAGCTCGTGCTTGGCGGCCGTCTCTAGGACGCGCTGCTTGTTGTAGTACCTGACGAAGTTATTGATGATGGGGTGGATGGGCAGGGCGATGGCAATGACCCCACACAGGAAGCTAATGGCCGCGTTAAGCTTGCCCAGCGTGGTCTTAGGGTAGATGTCACCGTAGCCCACAGTAGTCATGGTGATGATGGCCCACCAGAAGGACTGGGGAATGCTCTTAAACAGGGTCTCGGGGTGGCTCTGTTCCATGGTGTAGCCCAGCGCCGAGAAGACAAAGATGCCCACGGCCAGGTACATGAGCAGCAGCCCCAGTTCCTTGAAGCTGCGCTTGAGGGCGTAGGTGAGGGTCTGCAAACCCGAGGAGTGGCGCGCCAGCTTGAAGATGCGCGCGATGCGCATGATCCGTAGGGCCTGCACCGCCTGCTGCACGTTGGTCAGCTCCATCATGCGGGCGCCCAGGTGCGTGAGCGTGAGGCTCACATAGAAGGGGAGGATGGCCAGCACATCCACGATGTTCATGAAGGACAGGGCGAAGTGCAGCTTGTTAGGCGAGGAGAAGAGGCGCAGCAAGTACTCGAGCGTGAACCAGCCGATGCACGCCGTCTCCACGTTCTCCAGCGTCGGGTGCTCCACGCGGTTGCCCTCAGCGTCCAGCACCTGCAGCTCCGGGATGGTGCCCATGCACATAACCACTGACGAGACGAGGATGAGCAGGAAGGACAGCACGGCCACCACGCGTGCGGGGCACGACGACTCGGGCTTCTCCAGGAACTTCCAGACGCACTTCTGGCAGCGGCGCCAGCGGCCCTCGGCCGCGTCCACACCCAGGTCGTCCAGGATGAGCTGCACTCGGCGCGCGATCTCCTCCAGCTCCTCGCGCTTCTCGCTTAGGTGACTCTTGCAACAGTCGTCCAAGAACTTGAGGTCCACCTTCCAGAAGTCCATCTCGTTCTTGAAGCAGATGGGGCAGATGCCCTTCTTCATGTGCACCTCCCCGAAATAGTACACCTCTATGACACACTTGAACGCGTCCGGGTCGCGGTCAAAGTAGAACTCGCGCTTGCCGGGGTCGTAGTCGTCGCACAGGGAGAAGATGGTGTCGTAGCCCCCCGCCAAGCAGTTGATGAGCTCCGCCAGCCGGGTCTCAGGGTACTGGCTCAGGAGGTCTCCGTAGAGCACCTGCCGCACGCCCCCCACGTTGACGACGATCTCAATGTCGTCGCCGGCCGCGGAGCCCTGGCTGCCCGCCTCCTGGAGGCTGTGCTCCCCGGACCCGTCCATGCTCCCGGTGTGTGCCCTCGCAGCCCCGGCTCCGCGTCCCCGGCCGCCGCCGCCGCCGGGGGTCCGGCGGGTCCCACCAGTGCGCGGCTCTCGGGCTGAGCCTGCGGGGAAGGGCGGTCACAGCCCGCAGCTAAGGGCTGGGTGGCCCTGGCGGAGGCATGCACCCGGCGGCGGGGCTCAGGGCAGGCATCCGGGCGCCGGGGCGCGCCGGTGGGGGTTCTCCAGGCCCGCGGCCCCGCTGGGGGCACTCACCCCCGCTTCCAGGCGGCGCGATGTGCCGCTTGGCTCGGCCTCCCCCGGAGGGCTCCTCTCGTGGGCCGCAGGCAGGTTCTCCTTCCCGGGGTGCGCCGGCAGCGCGGGCCGGTTCCGGAGCTGCCGGACCCGCGGCCGTGCGCCGAGGTGTGCGGAGAGCGAACTTGTCTCGCTTTGCCCAAGCCGTTTCCAAACACAATAGGAATTCCAGCCTGACGTCAAGAGCTTTTCAACTGTACCCTCTTCTGGTGAGATTCTGCACGGCACGCGCGGCAGCTGCAGGGGAACGGGTTAACCCTTGGGCAGACGGGCACAGCTGCCGCGCCCGAGCGCCACGGCGCGCACCGGCTGCCAGGCCCTCCCTGCGCAGCGGGTCACCGAGGGCCGGGACCTGGGCTCCAAAGCAGCAGGGCTCCTCTCGCTGAAAGCCCTCCCGCTGCTGCTGGAGAGTCTACGATAAAAACGCGGCTGCCTGTTGCTCTGCAGGAAAAGCATCCCCTGGGTCTACTGCTCTGTCCTGGGTCCCTCCTGTCTCAGACTTGAGCCGGCCCTTGAGGGTCTCCTGCCACCCTCTAAGACTGCCCTGCTGTGGGTGTCACCTCACCTGAACTACATTGAGGACATCTAGTCCAACCTCCTCTAGGACAGAAGGAAGTTGTACCCTTCCCTTGTCCTGGGAAGGTGGAGCTGTAATGGGAGGTGAGGAGAGTGGGGTGGACCTCCCCTGCACACCAGCTCATTCAGAGTCAGGAGGGTCCCCGCTTGGCACTGGTCACCATGGCTTCAGGACAGTGCCCTTGGACCACGTACTGCCCACCACCCCTGGACTTAATTCTCCCCATCCTTTGAAGCTCAGTCCCCAGTGTTCTCACCTCTGCCAGGTCTCCCTGGACTGTGCTCTTTCCCTCCTCCTCCCTCCCTCCCTCCACCCAGGAATTAGGGCCCTTGAGCTCACACAGCCCCCTACTGTCCAGTAGGATCATAGATCAGGCCATACACCAGTTCCCTGGTCTGCCTCCTCCCCCATCCACCCCTTCAGATTATTCCTGGGACTGTCCTTAGTACAGAGCCCGGACCAGGTGCTGGGCAGGTGGAAGAGGGAAGAAAGAGAGGATTCACTGGGCCCAGGCTCCACACCACATTGTCATGGCCCTTAATTGCTCAGACACCCCACAGAGTGGAGCTCCAGCAATTTCTGAAGCACAGTGGTGAGGAAGACACGGTCTCCCAGGCACGTTCCATCTATAGTCGGAAGACAAGTGTCCCCTGTGCACCGAGTGGGCCTGGGCTGTGTTGTGGAGAGGGGCTGCTGGATGGCTACCAGGTGGTCTTCCTTCATGGTCAGGTTTTGGGGGAAGACAGCCAGCGTCTCATTGGAAGGTTCTTCTGCCCAGAGGACTCTGAGCCACCCTAAATAGCCACCTTAAATCTTAATCTCAAATAACTAACAAATAATAAAACACAAATACTCAGAAATATATTTACAAAAATGAAGCCCTTGATGAATCTAGTCCACATGGGTTCTTGAACTAGACAAGACAAAATGGCTCTGATGGTTTATTTAAGGGTACATCAAAGGCAGCATGAGGTTTCAAGGGCAGAGTCTTGCTTTGTGAAGTCTTGAAGTCAGCAGGTTGATTGACATCTCGGCAGGCCACACCCATCAGGTGCTAGGTGGGATCTTAGGCAGAGCCGGAGGGGGAAGTTCACCTGTATCAGGTGTTCAATCCACGTGGAGAGTGCCCCAGAGAGTTCCCAGTGCCAGCTTTATCCCCTCAGGAGGCTACTATGCACAACATCGTCCATACACAGCCCACAGACCGCTTATGATGGTCAGGACACAGGCTTTCCCTCCAACTTCATAGAGGCTCAAAACAGACCCCCGGCACCTTGACCTTGGGTTTCCAGCCTCCAGAACTGTGAGACAGTAGGTATCTCTTGATTTGGGTGCCCAGTCCCTGGTGCACTGTCAGGGTGCCCCAAGCTGACCCTCCATTGTCCTTACCTTGTGACCCCAGCGCCCCTGCCTGGTCATTGTGAAAGGTTGGACGGTGATTCCAATGGCTTAAAAAAACACCAGCCCTGTGCCTTCCCATTGAAGGTCACTGTTGGATAGGAATTTGGCCAGCAAGTCAAGATCCACTTCCAATTTCCCAAAGGGTTAAAAAAAGAAAAAGAGGAAGAAAAAAACCTCTCAACTTTGGCTAAAAATGGAAAGTTTCTTCTGTGGTGTACTCAGTCCTGTGCGTGGCTTCTGTGGGAATCACACCTTGCATGACACCATGGTGGGGGGAGGGGGGAGCAAAACATCTTCTGTTGGACATGAGAAGCAGCAGCATTTTTGACGCATGTGGATTTTGCAGTTAAATGGGGAGGGGAAGAAACCCGGTGTATGTAGGGAGTGTGAGAAGCAATTGTTTGAGCTTTGCTTTTCTTTATTAAATGTGTGGGGGTTTTTTATTTGTTGAATAATGACATTTTAGGCTACAGAATGCTCAATTTCTGTGATGCTAATTAAAACCAGCACATGTGAACCTAAGTGATTTGTCTAGACAAGAATGATGCGAGCTGTAATCTATTCCCTTTTTATGAACTAATCAGTTCTGTTCGGTTAATACTTCTTTGTATTTTGCTGAATTTAATAACACCTTTCATTAAGATTCAGTTCTGAACTCCACTGAAAATTTCCATTTCATTATTGGCTGTGCACCCATCAGCACCAGCCTGTAGCTCATCCCTGCCACCTTCCTCCTTCTCCTCTTCCTCATGCCAGCCCCTTGCCCCAGGAGAAGAATGATTGACACAAGGCTCATCCCATCCATCCTCTGGTCTCTCAATGACCTGGACCCTGGAAGGGGGAGGGGCGGAGTGGGGGTGCTGCTGGATGGAGAATGGAAGGAGGTAAAACCGAATCAGTGAATCTTTTTCTTTTTCTTTTCTTTCTTTCTTTCACCCCAGTGCTAAGCTTCCTTTTTCTTTTTAATGCCTCCATTTTTTTTTTCAAGACTAAAATGGAACTAGTTACCCTTTTCTTTCTGACTACAAGATCTTATTGGTTCATCAGGTTTGGTAGATGAGAGACCAAAGCTGCATGCAGAGGCAGAAGGGAGGAAGGAGAGCTGACCTCCTAGCTTGCATTTCCCCAGCTTCCTGGAGGCCACACCCCAGGGCTCCCGGGCTCCTGCACCTCCCTTCAGCTGTGACTCACCCTCTGGGAGGTGGGTGGGAGGGCTTCTTGCTGGCAGGGTCACCACATGCCCTAGATGTGCAGAAAGATGTCAGAGACTTTGGGTGCTGCAGCTAGGCTAAAGAGTAGAGCCATTGTAGATCTGGTCTATGTGGCTAAAATGCCTTGTGCAGAAGCCTCTAACTTAGTGAAAGCCCCGATTTCCTCAAACCCATAGTATTTCTGCATATGCTCAATCTTTTTAAATTTTTAGCAGCAGGAAGAGTAGAAATGTACGTTTTTATAATTTAAATGACTTTGATTATCACTTCAGTAATTTTAGAAGCTCTATTTTCATTCAGTTTTTTAGCTATTTATCATCTCTACTTCTCATTAAAACATGACCTTTCTGGACTCCACAAGACAATACATTCAGTCATTCATTTCAGTTGCTTTGATATAGATTTTGATCACCAAAGCAATCCCTATAAGGACCTGTTTCAAATGCCTGCCACACCACGTCCCCTCCCCGAGACATTAATGAGCCCCTGTTCTATGCTGCATCCTGGGTCGAGCGTGAGAAATACAACATATAAGTGGCACTGTTCTCACCTACAAAGAGTATCCATCCTAATGGGCTTGGTAATTACAGTAAAGTCTAGCTCAAGAAATGATTGTTAATTCTCAAATTCCTTCAAAGAGGGGGCTGGGGATGTGGCTCAAGCGGTAGCGTGCTCGCCTGGCATTCGTGCGGCCTGGGTTCGATCCTCAGCACCACATACAAAAAACAAAGATGTTGTGTCCTCTGAAAACTAAAAAATAAAAAATAAAAAATTTTTTAAATTCCTTCAAAGACACAAACTACTAAAACTCACTCAAGAAAAAGGGGATGTCAGGAATAGCCCTCTATCTATTAAATAAGCTGGAAACCTTCACACAAAGAAAACTCCGTGCTCAGATGGCTTCCCTGAGTAGCCATCAGATGTTTTAAGAAATATTACAAATTCTACACAAAATCCTCCAGAAGGTAGAGGAGGAGAAAACACTCCCAACTCAGTCCAGGGAGCAGCAGTTAGCACCCCGATACCAAAACCAGACAAAGGCATGACAAGAAAACTACAGGCCAATATCTCTCATAGAGAGGTGCCCAAATCTAAACAAAATGTTACCACATCATCAAAACTCACTACTGTCATCCAGCCTGGTGGTCCTGACCTAGGACACATAGACATGTGGAATAGAATTAAGAGTCCAGGAATAAACCCTCAGGTTTATGGGCAATTGATCTTCAAAGAAGTTCTCAAAATACTCAATGGAGAAAGAAAAACCTTTTTTTTTTTTTTTTAACAAATAATGCTGGGACACCATTCACGCAAAAGAATGAAGTTGGACCCCACCTCACGGCATATTCAGAGACTCTCCTGTTTGCAAGGGGGTTATGTCTTGATAAACCCATTGTAAATTAAAAACATTGTAAATGGACAATGCTCTTAACACACCTGATCTACTGCACGGTCAGCTTAGCAGCCCAGTACATGGGACAGTCTGCAGTGTCCCTTCCTGATCGCATGGCCGACGGGGAGCTGAGGCTGAGGCTGCTACCAAGCGTCATGAGAAAATAACGTGCACATATCACTAGCCCAGGGAAAGACTGAGATTTAAAATCTGAAGTACAGTTTCTACTGAATGTATATTGCTTTAGTATCATCTTAAAGTCAAAAAAATTAAAAGTGAAACTACTGTAAGTTGAGACTATACAAAATTAAACAAAATGGATCCAAGACTTAAAAAACAAAACTATAAAATCTGTATAAGGAAACATAGGTGAGATGTTAGTGACCTTCGATTAAGCAATGAGATGTTCCAGAGATGATATAAAAAGCACACACAAAAAAGTAAAAATATAAAACTTTAAAACATGTATGTGTCAAAGGACACCACCAAGCTAGTGAAAAGAATCTATGGAAGGCAGAATACCCTGGCGAATTATGTATCTGATAAAGGGCAAGTATTCAGAAATGAGAAAACCTCGTTTGAACTCACCAATAAAAAGGTAAATAATCCATTTAAAAATTGGGCGGAGGATTTGAATAGAAATTTCCCCAAAGAGTAAGAATAGGAACGGCTAATTAGCACTTAAAGGGATGCTCAACATCATTAGCCCTCAGAGAAATGCAAATCAAAACCACAATGAGCCTGGATGGTGGCACTCTCCTGTAATCCTAGCAATTGGGAGGCTGAGGAAAGAGGATCACAAGTTCAAAGCCAGCCTCAGCAACTTAGCAAGATCCATTTCAAAACAAAAAATAAAAAGTGCTGGGGATGCAGCTCAGTGTTAGAGTGTCCAGGGCTCAATCCCCAGTACCCCAAATAGTTGTGAATGAGATATTACTTCTCACTCATTAGAATGTCTGTAATCAAAAGCACCACCAATAAGAAGTGTTGGTGAGCATAGAAGGAGAAATTATATCTCTCATACAGTGCTGGTAGGAAGTAAAATGGTGTAGCCTCTTTGGAAAACACTTCAGCATTTCTTTAAAAATGTATCTGCAGCTTTATCACATAACCCAGCAGTTCCACTCCTAGTATTCAGTAATTAAATAGGCATTTCTCCTAAAAAGACATACATATGGCCACCAGGTACATGAAAAAAAAAATGCTCTCAGTGTCACCAATCATAAGGGAAGTGCAAATCAAAACCACAGAGAGAGATGG